TTAATAAATAATGTTGTGGCAAGGGTGTCCATGTATCTAGAATTTATAGTTTCCAGTTCATGTAGTTGGAGAAAGTTGCACACAGATCAAGCCACAAGGGGTGGGGTGGGGGCTGGGGAGGGGGAGGATGAGGATAAATGCGATGCTGTGATGTGTGGCATTGCCTGGTCTGATTCCTCATGCTAGGTGCTCAGTTTTTAATTTTCCCAACAAGCACAGAGCTTCTCTGAATGGTGGGCTCGAGAGGAGCCTCGCAGTCAGGTGTGGTTCCACAGCACTGACCTCTGCTGAGCAGCATTTGGCCCGGTTTGCTTAGTCCTTCCTGTTTTCTCTCGATGCAGCTGGCTTTCTGATTTACTTCCTTCTTGACCAGGCGTCCTCAAACTATGGCCCGCCGAAAACATTTATCCGGCCCGCGGGTGTTTTTGCCGCCGCTGCCTGTCCTGCTTAGCAGCCAACTCGTCCCGGGCCCACAGTGCGCATGTGTGGAATGTCTGAGGGACAGTGAACTGGCCCCCTGTTTAAAAAGTTTGAGGACCTCTGTGACCATGCCATTGTCTTTTTTTTTTTTAATTCTTTATTGTTGAAAGTATTACATGTGTCTCCTTTTTTCCCCTCATTGCCTTTCCTGACCATCCTATGTGAGTTCTCTCCACACTAGCTTGCCTGCTTTTATATCTGTTCTTCTTTTGTACCCCGTGGGCATGGACTTCTTAGAAACCTATGATCATTGAGATTCAAGGTGAGCCATCCAGTACTTTTGTGACCCACACACTTATTTGTCCTTCTACTCTTTCTGTTCTGTCCCTTTATTTCAGTCTTTTTTTCTTGACCTTAAATCTTCATCTCTAAAGACCTTTGACCTCTTTTCCCAAGCCTGCACTTCTAGACCAGTGGTTCTCAACCTTCCTAATGCCGCCACCCTTTAATACAGTTCCTCATGTTGTGGTGACCCCCAATTTCATTGTTACAAATTGAACATAATTAAAGCATAGTGATTAATCACAAAAACAGTATGTAATTATATATGTGTTTTCCGATGGTCTTAGGCAACCCCTGTGAAAGGGTCATTCGACCCCCAAAGGGGTCGCAACCCACAGGTTGAGAACCGCTGTTCTAGACCAGTGGTCGGCAAACTGCGGCCCCTTGAGTGTGGCTCTTCCACAAAATACCACGTGCGGGTGCACACGTACAGTGCGATTGAAACTTCGTGGCCACACTCAAGGGGCCAAAGAGCCGCATGTGACTCACGAGCCGCAGTTTGCCGACCACTGTTCTAGACATTTCCATGAGGTCATTCCAGACTCACAAGCCCCAAACTTAAGTCATCTTCCTCATTTCCAGTGTGTCTCCTCTCACTGATTTCCCGGTTTCTCTGAGGATCCAATCTCCCTGTCACTGAGGATCCACCACAGCTTAGGTCTCACCATCTCTTTTTGTTCCCGTGTTTTTATGGCTCTCTCTCTCATCCCCACCCTTGCTTGGTTTCTAATCTGCCTCCTCCCTGGTCTTTCTTCCTCCAGACTCTCCTCTGTTGGCTTCATTATGCTCAGGGTGTCAGGATAGCCTTCACTCTGGGCCCCTCTTACTTCTCTGGTATATCCTGAGCACCCACCCTTTCCTCTAGCCAGGCCTGTCTCTTTCCTCCGGCCTCCGTACATACGGGCTTATTCCCATCTGAGTCTTTGCACTGCCTCCCAGCCTGGCCTGGCCCAGCCCTACGCCTCTTCCTTTTCTCTATATTCTGTCCGTCCTGCAGGATCATTGAGTTGCCTCTTCTGATTGCTCAGCTACAGAGCTGGTCTCTCCTGGGCAGAACCACTTTCCTGGAAGCATACTCAGGAAACAAGGAAACAGGAAGGAAAAAATTGCATTTGATTGTATATTCTTTTGTTCTTCTTGAATTTTATACTGTTTGTGTGTATTATTCAGTGAAATAATTTTACCACATATTTAGCAAATATGTTTACAAATCACAAGTAATTACTCTGTGTCACACCTTAGTTTTCCATGAGCATGTATATTGGTTTCCCCATAGCACCTAAGTCAGTGCAGTGGGTACCTGCTAGGAGCTTCGTGAAGGGCTGGATAGAAGAGATGCGGGAAGAAGGCATGAACAGATTAGAGGCAACCTTGGACCTGACCTAACTTCTTACTGAGTAATTTCAAAACTAAAAGGAAAAAGATCGCTCTTGCCTTTTTTTAAGATTCTTAAGAATAGAGGCTGTATACCTGGCTACATCTGGTTATAGAGTTTTAATCTGATGATTAAGAATTCTTCCTGGCTAGGATTTATATATAGAAAATTCTAAAGAGTCATAAAAACATATTAGAGCTAAATTCAGTAAAGATGCAGGATACAAAATTAACACACAAAAATCAGTAATGTTTTCTACATATTAACAATGAATATTAGCTTGATCCCCAGTGTGGGGCATGCAGGAGGCAGCCAATCAGTGATTCTCTCTCCTCATCGATGTTTCTATCTCTTTCTCCCTCTCCCTTCCTCCCTGAATCAATAAAAATATTTAAAACATAAAAATTAATAAAAAACAACAAAAAAATCATAAAATACTTAGGAATAAATTTATTTTCACCAATGACGTGAAAGATCTCTACTCTGAAAATTATAAGACATTGATGAAGGAAACCAAAGAAGACACAAATAAATGAAAAGCTGTCTTATGTTCATGGGTTGGGAGAATTAAATTTGTTAAAATGCCAATACTTCCAAAAGCTGTCTGTAGATTCAGTGCAATCCCTATCAGAATTCCAATGGTATATTTTTTATTTTTTTACAGAAATAATAAATTAAAAAATCCTAAAATTTGCAAAGAACCACAAAAGACTCCCAATAGTCCAAGCAAGAAGAATAAGGTAGGAGAATTACACTGTCTGATTTCAAGCTCTACCACAAAGTTACAGTAATCAAACAGTGTGGTACTGGCATAAAAACAGACAAGTAGACCAGTGGAATGGAATTGAGAGCCCAGAAATAAACCCAGCATGGTCAACCAATATTTGACAAGGGGCCCAAGAATGCTCAATGGAGAAAAGACAGTCTCTTCAATAAATGGTGCTGGGGAAATTGGATATTTACAGGTAAAAGAATGAAACTTGACTCCTCTCTTACACTACTTAAAAAATTAACTGAAGTGGATTAAAGAATCAAATGTAAGACCTTAAAGCATGAAACTCCTAGAAGAAAACATAGGGGAAAAGGTCCTTGACGTGGGTCTTGGTAATGATTTTTTGGGAATCACACCTAAAACACAAACAACACAATAAAAAAACACATTAAGTGGGACTACATCAATCTGAAAAGCTGTACAGCAAAAGAGACCATCAAGAAAATAAAAAAAACCAACAGCATATGAAATGGGGAAAACTTTGCAAACCATATATCTGATAAGTAGTTAATATTCAAAGTAAATAAAGAACTCATACTACTCAATAGCAAAAAATAAAAAATCATCTAATAAATGGGCAAAAGACCTGCACTGTTTTCTAAAAAAGATGTATGAATGGTTAACAGGTATATGAAAAGATGCTCAACATCGCTAGTCAATAGGGAATTACAACAAATGCTGACAAATATGTGATGAAGAAGAAACCCTTGTGCACTGTTGGTGGGAATGTAAATTGGCTCAGCCATTATGAAAAACAGTATGAAGATTCCTCAAAAAATTAAAAATAGAACTACCATATGATCCAGCAATTTCACTTCTAGGTATATATCCAAAGAAAATGAAAACGCTTAACTCGAGAAGATGTCTGCACTTCCATGCTCATAGCGGCATCATTCCCAGTGGCCCACGGCATGGACACAACTTCCGTGTTCATTGATGGAAGAATGGATAGAGAAGTTGTGATAATACACAATAGCATAATATTTAGCCATAAAAACACACACCTAGGAAATCCTACTATTTGTGACAACAAGGATGGACCTTGAAGGCATTAGGCTAAGTGAAATAAGTCAGAGAAATACAAATACCATGATATCACTCATATGTAGAATTTAAACAAAACAGACCAAACTCATAGAAAAGGAGATCAGATATGTGGTTACCATAGGCAGGGACTGGAGAAAGGTGGTCAAAAGGTCCAGACTTCCAGTGACGTAACGTACAACATGGACAGGAGAGCAACACTGCTGTATGCGGGAAAGCTGTTGAGAGAGTTCTCATCACAAGGAGACTTTTTTTTTTGTTTTTTATTGTATCTGTGAGATGATGGATGTTAGCTAAACCTGTTGTGGTGATCATTTCGCAGAGTATATAAATCAAACCAATGTGCTGTGCACCTTAAACCTTATGCAGTGATGTACGTCAGCGACTCCTCACCTGCAAAAATAAATGGCTAAATAGATGGTAGGGGATGTTTCTGCAACATTTTGGGAACAGATACCTGGGTAACTTTGCCCAGCATCACAAGCTCAGGAGCATGTGCGTCCTGCCTGCAGTGGGCAGACGTTCTCTGTCAGGGAGAGAATCCCGTCTTCAGCTGAGATTCCTCTCAGAGCTCTTGGGGTTTAATCTCTGCCCCTACACCTCCCTCCCCCCGTCTTCCCCCAGTCCCTGTGGCCACCAGAGATGCTTCCATACATTTCAAATGGCCGAGGCAGTGAGATGGCACATGCACTGCCCCGCCCACCTCATGGTCCAGGCCGTTGCCCCCCTCAGGGTTGAGGGTTTGATTCCGGCCAAGGGCACATGCCTGGGCACATCCCCAATAGGGGGTGTGCAGGAGGCAGCCAATCAATGATTCTCTCTCATCATTGATGTTTCTATCTTTCTCTCCCTCTCTAAAATCAATAAAATATATTAAAAAAATAATAATAAAGGCAGTGATATTTTGAGACCAGGAGGTGTATGCCTTGCTTTGTGTGTTTTTGAAGTCGATCTTTGGAAAACAGTACAAATGATACTAAGTCCTTGCTGCCGTTTTCTGGTCCCTCCTTCTGGGGGTAAAACTTACACTTTCTCTTTCTCTTGCAGAGCATGATTGAGAAGGGAGGATAAAAGCCACTTTCAGAACAAGCAAAACTCCGTCAACGTTGATTCCAGAGGTGGTGGGACATATTTTTTCCTTGTAAGAAAGTAACCTGTTTAGAGAAAAGCCGATGAAGAGAAGCACTGGGAGCAGAGTGAACAGAAGTGCATCACAGTTATTCAACAAGAACGGAAAGCCGAGGCCTATCTAGATCAGGAATCAGCCGCAAAGGACACGCCACAGTGTTAGTAATGCCGGCTGTGATGACGAGTGGGCAACCCTTTCTACCTTTCGTACTTTCTGTCCAACTTTCTCTTCTGACCAAGCTCCATCACTTGGTGAACCTCCACTCCGGCAAAGCTTGCGGGTGGGACCAGGGATGAGGAGATGGGAGTGGGGAGGAGAGGGCAGGATACCTCCATCCAGGCCCTCGGTGCTGGCGTAGTATCCAGACTGTGCATGTTGGGCTTCTGCTTCCTTTCTCCCTTGACTATAAGAGCTGTTTCATTTTAACTTATGACGATCATGTAAAGAAGACAAAAAGGAGAGAAAATGTCCCTCTTTTACTGGAATAATGTTTATGATTACAAGTGAAATAAGGCATTTTTTATCAACATAAAGGCAACCTTGGCTTATACAACTGCTTCTCTATCGTGAATACTGACACCTGACTTCACTCACTATCAATAATAAATTTATTTTCTGATGAAGACTGGCATTGCAGCCCGGGCCTCATGTGCTTCTTTCCAGGGGTTGGATGGTTATGCTTATGGGAACTGAGTTGATTTATATTGTTACTAGTTTCCATGTGTGCTGTACCTTTCTCCCAAAAGCTGCAGAGCCTCAGCCACGCAAGCGCTCCTCAGGACTTGCCTCGTGGTAGGTAGGTAGGTAGGTAGGTAGGTAGGTAGGATGCAGTAAGAGCTTTACAACCTGCATGGACCTTCCTCCCTCTGGGATGACCTAAGCCATCCTGCCTGTGGTGAGAACGAGCTTAGCTAACCTTGGTTACAAACTTCCGACCCTGCGATCTATGAAAATGTTATTTTTAAAAAGTCAACCAACCTTGAGTGTTTTCCCTCTTTCCAGTTTCATTAAAGCTTTCTAATTATGTCTCCCTTTTTTGCCAGAGGATTGGTACTTCAAGCCTGGATTTTGATAAGTTGGAAATTAGTATTCACACTAAAGCTAAATGGAAAGGTCTTTCCAGGAATAGATGGAGGAGAAAATGCCAAGGCTCCGTGATGTCATCTAAATATCTTCTGTTGTGTAGAATTTCTGTTACAGAGAGAAGTACTTTAGCAAAATAATTATGAATACAGGCTCTGGAGTAGGTGCATCTGTGCTCAGATTGTGACCCCGCCCCCTACCCCGTGGGACCTAATCAAACCCCTCACCATCCTGAGCCCCTGATTTCTCAGCTGCTGGGGTTGGGGGTGGAAGAATCTGTGTAGACCAGCCGTGGGCAAACTACGGCCCGCGGGCGGAATCCGGCCCGTTTGAAATGAATAAAACTAAAAAAAAAAAAAGACCGTACCCTTTTATGTAATGATGTTTACTTTGAATTTATATTAGTTCACACAAACACTCCATCCATGCTTTTGTTCCGGCCCTCCGGTCCAGTTTAAGAACCCATTGTGGCCCTCGAGTCAAAAAGTTTGCCCACCCCTGGTGTAGACATACATTCGGTTGGGTCCAGTACATGTTGGTTTGTGTGATTATTCAGTAAACTGGTGTTTGGAGTTGGTGATGTGGGAAGAATATCCACAGGCCTAGATACCTTTTACTTCGAGATGGTCTTACGTTGGGAACATTTCAGCCAACCTCTAGAGACGGAAGTGTGGCCCCTTTTATCTAAATCCTGAGTTGGCTCCATTTGAAGGCATCCCGTGGACGCTTGTAGACACACCTGTGGACCTGATGCTGATTCTGAGTGACTATTGACTCTCCTGCCGTAATTACCCCGAGGCTCTGTGGTTCCTGCTCAATGAAAGCTTTTGTTTTGAGTTGTGTGTTTTTTATGGTACAAAATAAGCTGATTTGTTTAAGAGTGAAGGAAGGAGCATTGGTTGCTGGAGGAGCAGCACATCAGGCCCTGTCAGGATGGCAGCCAGGTAACTACCTGGGGGAGAGAATAGGTACACAAAAACAAGTGTTTACAAGGTGACTTGCAAATCAGCTAACTCACAGATTCCCTGCTTTGTTTTGCAATTTAGAGCGAAGAAGTTGGCGCATCTCAGGCTGCCAGTCTTGTCACTGGCAGAGAAATACAGCACTGAAGAGCCAGGCATTAAAGCTGGTGAAATCCATGAGAATGGAAGGTGGTTGGGAGGGAGCTGTCCTGACCACGGGTGGTTAATGTATCATCCTGATAAACAGGATGGGTGCAAGGGAGAAAGACCGCACTCGGGAGGAATTAAAGGGTGAGACGATGCCTTTTTCTACACCTTCAGGCAGCTTGCTGTTGATGGCCTGACAACTCTGTCCAGGTTACTGTTAACTTCAGGACAACTGCTTGCAAAGAATGTTGGGCTTTTGAGTCTCAGGGGAGTTACACATTCCAAACAGTTTCTCCATTAAGGAGAACACACCTTGAACTGTAGGATAGCTCATGAAGCCAAGAAAAGTCAAGTTACTTGAAAGCTGATCAGATGTTATCACACTAAACAAATGTCTGGTGAAAGAGAAGAAAGCTGGGTGGAACCAACACAAAGTCCTCTCTTTGAAAAGCTAATAACTTGTTACAGAAAACTTACCAACGTGATGGTTTAGAAAATTACTGACTAATCCTTATTAGTAGCAGATGTGGACTGCTAACAGCCAAATGCTGCGGCTTGCTGGTCTACCAATGAGACGCCTCTACAGCAGCTGTATGCAGTATTTTGCTTAGAACTGAACAAGCGGCCAGATGTCCTCATCATGTCTGCCTTAGGAGTTGGGAACCTGTGGTTCTTAGCTTGATATCTTTCAGCCCACAGGTATAATTGCTTTTGCCAGAAACCCACAGGATAATTCCCTCTCCCCCATTTCAGCCGTTAAGAGCTGACTTTTCCAAGATTTAAGACCTAGAGCCGTTGAACAATTGAAAGGGTAGCAGTAGCTTCCTAGGATTATTCTGTTTTGAGTTAATATACTTGAAAGGCTACTGCTTTGAATGAATGAGTTAATATGCGTTCGTTCATTCTCTGTCGGTGCTCCCCTATGCCCCCAAGTTTTCATCTCTCTTCACCTCCCATCTGTATCTCCTCCTCTAGCCTCTTCTGTAGTGGGTTGAGACCTTTCTCACCTTTCTCAGCCTTCCAAGGCCACTTCCTGAGAGGTAACATGGGAGTGTACAGTCCTGAGCTCTGGCTCTGGTTTCTGCTACTGTTGCCTTGGGATGAGTCACTTCCCCACAGGGTCCTAACTGCCCGGGGGTGCCCTGGTTCTCCATTATAACAAATGACTTTTGGTACTTTCTTTTCTTACCAGCCTCCTAAGTCGTAAACTAGTTATAGATTGAGAACTTCTTTTCTTTTTTCTTTTTTTTAAGATTGAGAACTTCTTATCTTTAGTGATTTTTTATTTTGCAGTTCCTAACTTATAAACCAGGTATATGGAGTTATTTTATTTTCTGGGGGAAGTAACTTTGTATTTAGTTCTCTGTAGCCTTTGAGTGTGTTTTCCTATAGTTTGTGATCTTCATTAGAAAAAAAATATGGTGTGCTGTCACTTGCCCTGGGGGATGGGCTGTATCCATTCTGAAATGTCTTCCTAGGACATGTAGCCAGTCGAGCCAATGAGACTACAATCCAAACCACCCCGAACAGGAGCCCGCGGTGCTTCCGCTTTTACCTGCAGCATCTGGACAGTGCATATGCTGTTTAACTTACGTCCATGCTTATTTTTAAATTTATTATAGACATTTGCTTTAGCCTCTCCCACTGGGCCCTTAAAAGAATGCAAAGTTTGCAGGTGCCAATTTTTTAACCTTCTCCTTCCCTTGACCCACTTAATGTCGGAGGTGCCAACAGCGACAGTAAAGGGAATTTAAGGGAGGGAAGATAGGTTACTATCCATGAGTGGAACACTGGCTCTTGGAGACCATGGCTGTGTGGAGAGAAGGACTGGGCATTATTCCCATAAACTTCTTTTCATTTTCCAGCCTCTGTCATTTCGAATCCACTGGCACATGAAGAAGAGAGTCCTTTTTAATTATTCCAATTTAGATGATCTAGAGCTATATCATTTTATCATCATCCCAGCCGGCTCACCACCCAGGGAGGTGGGGTAGGCAGTGATTTTTCAGGCGGTGAAATGGGAAACTGAGGGCCTCCCTTGTGTACCAAAGAGATTGAGTCCTGCCCGACCTGCCTCAGGAGCCCAGCTGTGCTGCCCAGCTGCGCTGCTCTCGTCACTCCCAGGGAAATGCTGGTTTGAATGGATAAGCGCTACAGGCAAAGGAGACGTGTTTCCCCACATCCAGAATGAGGGTCAGCTTGCTCATCTGACAGGGTCCCTTACTCTAAGAATTTTGGCCCAAGTACCAGATAGCTTCAGGGACCTCCAATTAATTACTTTACCTTCCAAAACCCAAAGTCATGGGCACCCGGTTTTGGGAGAAAATGACCAACCACCTAATTCATTTTATATCCAGGTGATGATTGATGTTTCTCTCTCATCGATGTTTCTAACTCACTATCTCTCTCCCTTCCTCTCTGTAAAAAATTAATAAAAATATATTTTAAAAAAAGAGTTGAATTGCTTTAGGGGAGACTGGAAAAGTCACCACCCAACTAAAAAACATCTACTTTTCCTGTGAGTTGTCTTGAACCTTCCTAATAGACCCCTAGCCTTCTGCAGACCCTGATAATATGCTTTGTTTTAGGGGACAGTCCAGTGCTAAACCCAGTTTGGATTCAGAAAACATGGTTCCCATATGTATGCTTTTCAGTTAAGAAAGTTGAAAATTGAAACTATTAAGTTCAGTCCCTGAAACTCCCTCAAACCAAGTCAACTCTACCTGAAAAGCAGCTACGCCTCAATTTAATGCAATGCTTCAACCCACCAAAAGTGAGTTTGATTAGGTGAGGCCTCCATACACTTCAAAGATTTTCCCAGGCAGCAAAGCGGGGCTTCCCTCACCTCTGGTCCCCTCTGCCTCCCTGGGAGGGTCCTTACTGGGCTGTGGTCACTGTCACTTTGCATGAGGCCAGTCTGCTTTGAACAGAACCCTGCCTTCAAAGTGAATGGCATTTCCATAATGGCTTTTAAGTGCAAATGTGGAGGCCCCAGAGGTCACTGGCCGGGATACTGGGTACCACTGTGCTCCAGCGGCCTTTCCTTCCTGGACTTCCTCAGGCAGAGGTAGCGGCCGCCGGGGCTGGAAAGTGGCCCATTTTGGAAGGAGCCTCCTGCAGCGCCTTCTCTGTGGGGCGGTCCATTGGCCAGGCCGCTGCTGGACCCTCATCAATGCCCGCAGCATGGTCGAAAGCCTGTGCTCATTCACTCCCTGCCCATCCCTGCCAGGTATATCAAATAGGGGTTGAGGACCAGATAGCGGGCCAACTGCTCATTATCTGCTGCCTGTGTGTCCAAGAGGCAAGGGTAGAGCCGTTTCCGTTTCATCGCCACAGGCCAGGTTCCTCAGTCAGCATCAGGCCGCAGGTTCTAGCTTTGGAACTCCCTAAGGTAATGTGCACCCAGACCTCAGAAGCGCGAGCACAGAGTCATTGAAAGTATTA